AACAGCCCAGATGCAGATCCTGTCCCACCCTCAGAAGCCAGGAGAGCTGTGCCTGGCTAGGGAAAGCAGGGCAGGTTCAGGAGCAGGCTTGGAGCCCAGCCCAAATTTTGGAGCAGCTGGCTTTTTGCTCCCTAGGCCTGAGAGGAGACAACTTCCCTTGCATTCCCCACTGGCCTACCTCCCTTCCCCCCACTGGCCTCATTTTGCCCCTTGCCTTTTCTGGATCTCCAACCCTTTTGAGAATCCAATGTGTTATGTAATATTAGTCCCAGAAAAATATGTTCACTTGAGCTCACATATGAATTTTACACACAATTTCTGGGATTGGAAGAACTTACAAAGCTTATTCACAGAGAGAGACCTTCGAGACTTCTGATTAAGAATCTCAGAGGTGGGGCTGGAGAAATGGCTCAGTGAAAAGCACCTGCTACTTTTGCAGAGGACCTGGGTTTGGGTTCATTTCCCAGTACCCACATGGCAGCTCACAACTGCCTATAACTCCAGTTCCAAGGGATCCTGTACCCTCTTCTGGCCTCCGTGGGCACCAGGCATGTGCAGGGTGCACATACATATATTCAGGCACTCATTTATATACGTAAAATAAAATAAAGCTTTTTAAAAAAAAGAATCTCATAGGTAGGACAAAAGCCATCTGGAGTGGTGATCAAGTTAGCTCATTCTGAGTCATACCAGACCCTATTCTTAGAAAGAACTCCAACTTGAGGGCCAATAGTGGTCCTTACACCAGGAATCTGGGAACAAAATTGGACTACCCAACAACCTGGATTGAATCTGATGGAGCCTTGGAGATGGACTGAGGCAATTATTCTCTTTTGCTAAGGAACAATTTGTTTCCTTTGGGTCTGCAGGATCCCCCTATAAGACAAGTTCATGAACATCAAATGCTGTACAATTCCTCCTCTTTATCTGAAATATTCCCTAAATTGAGAGAGAACCAGATTCTTGGCAAAAATAATCCCTTATTCCTTTAGAGATAGAATAAGGCTGGACTCTAGCCTTATAAACAGTGAGCAAGAATTCAGGGGTCAGGATATGTGGAGACCAGCTTCTGCATTGGGCATCCCTCTGTAGAGCAGACTCCAGAGACCAGTTCCCTCCGACTCCAGGTAAAAAGGTCCTGGCCCAGTTGGACCAGGGAGTGTCTCCATCATCCCAGTGCAGGGTCCCGGGAGGGCATTTGGGCAGAAACACAGTTTGAACTGTAATGATTGGGTTTCTTCCAATCACCCTTCATCCCTCTGTAGGCTTCTTCCCTTTTTGGAGTTGTGTGATCAACTCCTCTGAGAGGGCAGTCTGGATCAGAGTCATTCCCCCTCCATGTTGCACCGTCATTTTGACCCTATTTACTGGATAGAAACCCATCTGACATATTTGGTGGGCAGGCCTGTAAAAGTCCAGGCTGCCTGGAATTCCCTTACTCAAGAATCCTCAAAATCTAAAACTCTATTTCTGTAAGAAGGGTACCAGAGGCCAGCAAATTTGAGTTTTTTGTTTGTGTGTGTGGGGGGGGTTGTTGTTTTTTGTTTTTGGCCTTTTTGTGACAGGGTTTCCCTATAACCCCAGCTGGCCTGGAACTCACTATGTCGTATGTAGATCTAGTTGGCCTCGAACTCAGAGAGATCTGCCTGCCTCTGCTGAGATTAAAGGCATGTGCCACCACACCCAGCTAAATTTGAGTTGTTAGGAGTCTAGAGAATCCTAGTCTGCCACACAATATTTTTTCTTAAGGGGGGATTGGAGATGGGGAGGTCCTCAGGGTTGGGAAAAAGTGGCTAGGGCAGGTGGACAGGTTTCTAAGGAGGCTTAGACCAGGTGATCTGGGCAAAATGAACCAAAATAACAAAATGCCAGGTGGTACCACAATTCCATGCACCCTTGAACATGCTGTGCTCTTGAGCATATCTGGCTGAGAGGCTAACCAATTAGGCCAAAGAAGTAAATCCACGGGATGGGGGCAGCAGATACAGGCAAGGCAGGTGGGAAGGGGAGGTACATGGAGGGAATGCAGTAAATGACTATAGCATGTCCTTCCCACTTTGGCATGATGTGAACAAAGACTAAAGATCCCAGGGAACAGGACCCTTCTGCTCTCCAGTTCACATTCCACCTCTTCTTGGCAGCTTCCCAGTAACTCTCAACTCCACTGGTCTTCAGAGAGTGGGAGATGAGCACTAGTAGGGGCTGGGCTTGTCTTTAAGTTTTAGTTTAGTCTTCAGGTCAAGACCCTAAGAGGGCTGGGCTTTGGTGTTATGACAGGAAAGAGCTGAGGTAGATCCTGGGGACAGGAAGCAGGAAGAGAACAGATGTGTCTTGAACTCTCCTTCACATCTCCCCTGCTCCTTCTCTCTCAGGTTCCTCTCCACCAGTCCTTAGACTTTGACTTTATGTTATTAGTGATCTCCTCATGGCTCCTAGGATATCAGTTATGATACAGGAATGAACCAGCAGAGACAGTGGATGCCTTAGGACCTGGGATAGATCTGTAGCTCTGGGAGAACTAAGATCTCTATTATCACCAATTCTGCCTCAGAGCAGATGCCCTCACCCCACCCCAATGCCAGGTGAAGGCAGGTAAAGAAGTAGAAAGCTGCTTCTAACATTCTCAAGCAGGCCCCACACAAGAATCAGTCTTTCTTCACTTCATTCCTTTTACTCCAGAGAGCTACAAGCCATGTCTCCAAACACAACTAAATTAGAGATGAAATCTATCTCTGTGCAGAGGCCCCTGCTCTGGAGGCTGGCAGAAAGAGCCTGCTCCCTGCCCCAGAACCCAGCTTAGTGCCAACCCTCTCTAGGGCAGGTGTGGCAGGCAGGAGAGCCCATTCTTCCCATCCCCACCCTCTACCCTAGTCCACAACTTCTCCAGGTGCCCTCTCGGTGCCCTTCTCTGGCCCAAGCTGAGGGGGATGCCCTCACAGGCCACCCAGGAGTTTAAAACAAAGCAGGTCTGGTGTGTGCAGCTGGAGGAGAGAGACACTTTTCCCCTTGGCTCCTACCCTCTTCCTTCCCTCCCTTCCTCTTAGGGAAAAAATGGAAAATTAGGGCCCAACACAAACCAGATGGGTAGCAAGAGAGAAAAAGGCCTGAGGGCATAGCCTGCTAGGGTGCCTCGAGGAAAAGAAAGATGTAGCTGATGTTCAAACCTGCCTGTCTGCTCAGAGGTTCGTATTCGTTTACAGAAACACACGCGGAGAACAACACACAAATACACACATTCAAAAACAAACACTTTCAAATAACGATGCACACAAAATGCTCGCCCAATATCCACAGATTCCAGACCAGGGGTCCATAACCACGGGTCTCACTGCGAGTTTCTGAGAGCGCAGCCCCAGCGGTGGCCCGGCCCCTTCCCGGCCCCCACTCCGCATCCGGAACAGCTGGACTCGCGGTACAGCACAATCTAGCCCTGTTCAGGGCTGGGCGGGGCGGGCAGCGGGGCTCCGGCCCCAGCCCTGGGGCAGACAGCAGCCGGGAAGCCCTGAACGCGCCCGGGTAACCCTGGCACCTGAGTTTCCGTCAGACGCCTGTCATCAGATGTACAGTGGCCCTAGCTGGCCCCGAGAGCCGCGGCGGGAGGAGACAGAGTGCAAGATTGCTGGAGGTAGGGCGCCCGCATCAAGCTTAGGCCGGGGGAGATAAGCATCAACAACTCCTCCCTCTGCCTCTCCGGGTGGGGAAGACTGAGTCCTCCAATTGTTTCCCTCACCCCAACCCTTAGGGTCCCCACCTCTGTCCCACATCGCCCACCCAGGGCTGGGAAGCTGACTGTGACCTCTTATGGGCCAACCCTCAGCTTCTCCTTTCCAGGCGCATGGCCCAGGGTTGAGGTTTAGCAGCAATAGAGTCTGGGACTAGGGGAGCTTGGTTCTTGATCTGGGCTTGTCAAAGTCTACGCTGGGCAGCAGTAGGGCCCACCCGAGCTCCAGTTCTTACCTGGCCCGTGCAGCGGCCACGTCGCTCGGAGGCTGGGGCTCCTACTACCCCTCTCCAGCTCCAAAACCCGGGTTGGAGAGCCTCAGACCTCCCCGCTGGTGCTGCGGTCCCAGGAAGGCCGGCAGGAGGCGGGTGTGCCCGGAGCGCGGCTCTCAGTTTGGGGTGGGGGTGGTGGCTTTTTAGTAGCCCAAGGTTCGGGAGCAATAAAGGCTCCTCTAATGTAATTTACAAACAGCTCGGCCCGAGCACGGCGGAGAGCTGGGACTGACAGGCGCATTAGGCAAGCTAATTCCAGCCGGCTCCTCCTACCCCCGGCCCGCTAATTAATGAGCTTCCCAACTTAGAGCCGCCTGCATTGGACAGACAGAGAGTGAAACAGAGGGCGAGGGAGAGGTAGCGAAGAAGAGGGACGGGGGGGGGGGGGCAGAGGGGAGAGAAAACAACAAAACAAACCCACAGATGTTAGCTAGGTAGAAGATAGAGAAGACTGCTGGGTATTTGGCTGTTTAATTGGCCTCTCTGAGCCTCAGCTTTCACGGTGGAAACCACAGTAGTACCATTTCCCGGGGGGGGGGGGGGGGGGGGGGGGGGGGGGGAGCAGAGTGGAGAGAAGAGAGGGAGGGAGGGAGAGGGAGAGAGAGGACGGGGGAGAGAGAACAGAGAAAGAAGAGAGGAGAAAGGGAGAACGGAGAGAAGTGGCGCTGCAGATAATTGATTACTCCTCGATCAAGGCTAACTTGTTAGCAATAGTCAATTGCCGGGTCTCTCCGCCTCCCCTCGCAGTCCGGGATCTGCGTCCTCTCCTCGGCTCTTCCAACTGCCGCCGCCAGGACCCGGGGCCAGGAGCCGCCGCCGCGGAGCCACCTGACACCTTTAAATAGCACCCGGGCTGGCGAAACTGGAGCCCCGAGCGGCGTACCCCGGCTCCGGCCCCGGCTTGCTGGAAACCCCGGAGGCGGCGGCGCCCGCGTCTGCGCTCTCCTCCCGGGGCCCCGCGCGGGTCTGCCTGCCTCCGTCGCCGCGCTAATCGGCCGGGTGCCTGTCCGCGCCCTACGCGGCGCGGCCTCCTTCCCACCCCTCGCCTTTCTCTCGCACCGTCCGGTACCCGAGCTGCCCGCGGGCTGGGTCCCCGCGGCCCGAGCCGCCTCGGCCGGGCCCCCGAAAGAGGCCGAGATGACTTCCAAAGAGGACGGCAAGGCGGCGCCGGGGGAGGAGCGGCGGCGCAGCCCTCTGGACCACCTGCCGCCGCCCGCCAACTCCAACAAGCCGCTGACGCCGTTCAGCATCGAGGACATCCTCAACAAGCCGTCTGTGAGGAGAAGTTACTCGCTGTGTGGGGCGGCGCACCTGCTGGCCGCCGCGGATAAGCACGCGCCGGGCGGCTTGCCCCTGGCGGGCCGCGCTCTGCTTTCGCAGACCTCGCCACTGTGCGCGTTGGAAGAACTCGCCAGCAAGACCTTTAAGGGGCTGGAGGTCAGCGTCCTGCAGGCTGCCGAAGGTAGGCACAGCCTGATTCCCCTGCGCCCAGGGGCCCATGCTCAGTGTCCTGTACCTTGAGCCCTGTGCCTCTTCCTGCCTCTGCCCACGCCTGCCGCCAGGGCCCTCCAGCCCTAGCAGCTGCCTCCTGGAGCGGAGTTAGGTAGAGAAGGACTCTGTTTCCTAGGGACCTCTGGCTTCCTACTCCGGGTGATTTGAGATAGTGTGAACCCAGCTCTCTCTGCAGTCTGACCGACTTTTTCAGGTTCCCAGCCGCTTGGGCTCTCCCAGTCTTACTCCTGGAGTGGAGAGAGAGAGAATTTTTTGCAGGGAACTTCTGGGTAGGATGGAGTTCGGTCACTGGAAAGGGGTGGAGAATCAGTGATCGTTCCTTAAGCGGGAGTTTCTGTTTAGCTCTTTTATACTCTCTGGACTTTGGATCTTTTAGACCAACTCTTAGGGAGTAGAGAGCAAAACCATTTCTTCTAAAGACTTCCAGGAGACCAGAGGCAGGTTTGCCAGGCTTGCTCTGATCTAGAAGGTGGAATCAATTTGGAGAGGGGAATAGCAACCTGACAGGCCAGGGTCGGATGGGGAGTTATGGGAGAGAGCCAGGGCGGGGTCTTCACTCTACCGATACGAACCTACACTGTCATTTCTTTACAGGCCGTGATGGGATGACCATCTTTGGGCAGCGGCAGACGCCCAAGAAACGGCGAAAATCCCGCACGGCCTTCACCAACCACCAGATATACGAGTTGGAGAAGCGCTTCCTATACCAGAAGTACCTGTCCCCGGCAGATCGCGACCAAATTGCGCAGCAGCTGGGCCTCACCAACGCACAGGTCATCACCTGGTTCCAGAATCGGCGCGCTAAGCTTAAGCGGGACCTGGAGGAGATGAAGGCCGACGTGGAGTCTGCCAAGAAACTGGGCCCCAGCGGGCAGATGGACATCGTGGCGCTGGCGGAACTCGAGCAGAACTCGGAGGCTTCGGGCGGCGGTGGCGGTGCCTGCGGCAGGGCCAAGTCGAGGCCGGGTTCTCCGGCGCTGCCACCAGGTGCCCCGCAGGCCCCGGGCCCTGGGCCTTTGCAGCTCTCGCCAGCCTCTCCGCTCACGGACCAGCGGGCCAGCAGCCAGGACTGCTCAGAGGACGAGGAAGACGAAGAGATAGACGTGGACGATTGAGCGGCGCCCTGGACCTACTGCCACTCCGGACCCAACTCCGCTGCCTCCCGGACTGGACCGCTAAGGGGAGCTGGGACCTCCTCTGCAACTCTCGCCTCCACCCTCGTCCCGGAGTCGGGACTTGGGCCCGGCCGCCGCCTCTTCCCTCTCGAAGCAATAAATCTGGGCTGGCCGGCGGGGCCGGCCGCCACCCGCGGTCTCCGCCGCCCCGGAAGCCCTGGCCGTGCAATTGTGTATGGCTTCTGTATAAATATTTAAACCTATACTGTGGGTTCTCCCCACCGCAGCCTGATCTTTTTCTTTTATTTTTTTAATTCTCAGAGATTTCGATGTTTTCAAAGTTCCGGTGCTGCCGGGTTGGCTGACCGTTGAGCGGAGGGAGAGCGGTAAACACTAACTCCTGCGGTCTAGAAGAGGGGACAACTCCGGTTGTTTTAATTTTTCTCTGCATGTGGCGAATGCACCGATCCGCTCCCTCCTCACCTCCCTCGGCTTTTTTATTTCCGTTTGCCTTTTTAAACCCCCTAGTGTAAGAAGAGGGTGAGGGAGGCAGCAGGGTCCTGACTTGCAAGTTTCAAAATCGATCTTTCCTTTTCCCAGCGAGAGAAGTCTGTTTTCAATGCCATATCTGCCTCCCAATGCCCACTAACGCTATTTTTAAGATTCCTCCATTCCTTCCGCATTTTCTCGGACTGACTGCTGGAGTCCAGCTCTTAGGGACAAAGCAAGGGGACATCCAACTAACCATCCATCGAAAACAGAACCCAAAGCCCTAGAATTATTTTTTACTCTTTTTAGAATTTTTTTGCATGTGACAGAGACAGAGAGAAGGCCGACCCAAGCGCTTACCCCCACTTTCTCTGTAGCTCTGGGTCTATCTTGCCACCAACATCTCTCTCCTATCTCTACTTGGCCAGACAAGGGTGGCCCGGTGAGGGTGGGTTCCGGGTACTCTTTCCCTGCTCCTGTCCTGCCCTCTCCACCCCGGACTGTACCCAAGGCCTCTTTCTCCGATAAATAAAGTCTTTGCCATTTTACTAGAATGGGCCCGGACCGCGTCTGCCGTGAGTGGGCCCGGTGTACCGAAGCAGCGGCAGGCTGAGGTTCTCCGCCGTTGCCCCTTACGGGTCGCTCCAGCCTTAGAGATTTGGGGGACTTTCCAGGGCTGGCGTGAACGAGAGGGGCAAAAGAACAGCAGTGGGAGGAGGTGCTTTTTGCCAATGAGCACTCAGCAGATACCACTAAATGGAGCCAGAAGTCCGCTTCGTCAGGTCGGGGTAAAAAGCAAGGCTTGGCGATGCCGACAGAAAACTCGTATGTACGCGGAAAGCACCGCCGCACAAAATTAATTTTTGTGTGGCAAGACTCGTCCTGCGCTTGTGCGTTCCACCCCTGACTCGACGCCTTCTACCTGTGTTTCCTGAGGCTCCAGCTGAACTCTGATACACTGGCAGGAGTCACTCAATCGAAGATCAGGGTGGAGCCTGGAGCCTCCCAAGTTTTGGTCACGCCCTGAGGGCTTCAGCCTGGATTGGGAGTTAGTTGAAGGAGTGTGAGGCCGAAGGCAAACAGGACAGACTAAATTGCACACTTGGGCACTCGGGAATGTGAGCCCAAGGCCTCTGGGGGTTGGAGTAAGTGTCTGGTAGCACCCCCAAACGCTGGCCTGTAGGGATCTAGTGTTCTCAGGGACTTTGTGGGTTTCCTAGTGTCCTTTGGGCGACTGGGGCGGGGGCTCAGGGAGCTTTCAGTTTCCTGAACTGAGCGTGTTTCTCTCTGGGCTTTTGTTGTCACTGGGCTGGCGAGTGGCCGCTGTCACCAGAGTAGGGTCCCGCCTGCAGGCCGCTCTGCTTCTTTTCTCCGAAAAATTGATGTGAGAAACGCGCATCTGGTCTCGGGCAGGCGATGGGCCCTAGGGCCTGAGTCAGGAACGTGTGTGTCCACTAGGAAGCTAAGTGAGCCAGAATCCGGGAAAAAGGAGTACAGAAAGACACCGGGAGCAGAGCGAGAGTGAGAGAGCCGCAGAGAGACAGCTCTTCTTTGTGCGGCTACCAAAACATATGAGCTGAGAGAGAGAGAGAGAGAGAGAGAGAGAGAGAGAGAGAGAGAGAGGAGAGAAGAGAGAAGAAGAGAGAGAAGGAAAGAGGCCGGGCAGTCGTGCGGGCGTGCGGCCGGTTCCTCCCGTGCGACATAAATCGCCCTCTCTTAGGATGGATGGGTCTGTAATTCGGAGCGCGGACCATGAAGGCCGGGACGAATGGGCCCGGGCGGCCGCTGACAGGCGACAATAGCCGGGCCCAGCCCCCCGCGGCTCCCGGTGCGGGCACGGCCGCGGCCCTCCGCAGCCCAGAGCGCGCCGGCGCTGGCGACCATATGGTTTTTGAATTTTCTTCACAATTTGTAGACAATTTGATGGATTAGGTCCCCGCGCGCGCCTCCCCGGCACAAAGGCGGCGCAGGGACCGGGGCGGCCGCTGACAGGCGACAATAGCCGGGCCCAGCCCCCCGCGGCTCCCGGTGCGGGCACGGCCGCGGCCCTCCGCAGCCCAGAGCGCGCCGGCGCTGGCGACCATATGGTTTTTGAATTTTCTTCACAATTTGTAGACAATTTGATGGATTAGGTCCCCGCGCGCGCCTCCCCGGCACAAAGGCGGCGCAGGGACCGCGGCGCAGCGGTCACCCGGGCATCTGCGCCCGCCGCGCACCCCGCCC